CGTGCCGGGAGCAGCCTGGGCTCCGTGGCTCCCAGCTGCTTGGAGCCCGGGCTGGCGGTGGTGTGCTGAGCAAAATGGTTTTGCGTGCCATGCTCGGCACGCGTGCCAGGAGTTGCTGACCCCTGGGTTACAACATACTTGCACAACAGGGCATGGGGACAAGATGGGAACAAAATGGGAACCTAACAGACAAAATGGATACTTGATATCACTCATGCCAACCCACATTGCAGGCCTAAATCATACAATGTTAATATGAAACAATAAAAATCAATGCATAAATGTTAGGAATACAATATAATACAATATAAAACAGTAAAAATCAATACAAACATAACAGAACACTATTTACAATATAAAAAAGGGGCTTATTACAATGTGGGAGCATAAGAACTTAGCTTACCTAGTACGTGTAATCACTTATAAGGGATAGAGAGGGCAGAGAGAAAGTCAGAAATGGTTGAGGAAGGGGAGGGAATGCATTTTAAAAAAAAAAAGAGAGAAAAACTGGGGGTTTTGGTACAATTCTATTGACTGCATATTATGAAACAATGGTCAATCCATAGTTAAGGTTGGAGCTAGCTCAGTTTTCAGCCTCCTCCTCTATATTTTGTTTTGCTGATAAAAGACAAAATTTTAGGAAAAGAGAGAGAGTTGTGACTCTGTAAGGCAAGGACTATACAAGAAAAGATACATATTCCCATTTAGCAATCCAAAAGAAAATATTTTTACATTTTCAATGTTTATAGGCTCCTTATGACTCTGTTATTATTTCAAAACTACTTAATACAAGGTCTTCAATTTCATTTTACTTTAACGAGAAATGAGGAAGATCAGCAGCTTGCAAGATGTGTTCAAGATCTCACAAGATAGGACCTTAAGCTATTGCTTTTGGCAATTATCACAAGTTACTGGCTGCTTGACATAACTTTCAGTACTAGAAAATGGAAAACACACATATAGACAAAGACTGAAATGGAAATATTAACACATTAAGTGAATAATTCTTTTAATGTGTACTATAACATGTTTCCTTAGCCAGATGCTCACAAAATTGCTACCATTAATCAATACTACACTTTTATTAAGATGAGTTGAAAATATTCTGCAGAATTCATATGCTTCCAGCAGTACTATTCCTACCCAAAACTGTTTGCTTGATTAGTAAATAAATCATGTAGGCAGTATGGAGTTGTTTCACTCTTTCCATACTTTATTACTTTATCATCTAATCCTAGTACATATTTACTGAACTGTAAATGTATTATTCATTTGGTTGGTTTGTAGTCTGATCTCATTACTGTTATCATATTAATTCTGTAATTCATGGAATTTTAAAATATGCACAGGAACACACATACTGAATTAATCTATTGTGTAGCAATATTTTTGACCATCTTTGTTGACCTCGCAACATACTTTTAAGTAACCAAACTGAAAAAACAACTTTTGTACATTAACCATCAGCAGAATTATAATGCAACCTGAGATCTGTCCAGTATTATTGTCCCAATCAGCTACAAGACTTTCATTCTGCCACCAGCACCGAATATTTCAGTCAACAGTAATCATTTAGGGGAAATAACACCCACAAGAGCTCCCCAGGCTCAGAGGCCTCAGTCTCTATAGCAACGGCTCTCCTCCCCGTCTCTACGGCGACTCCTCCCGCCCCTTCCGGGCGGAAGTGGCCAGCCGGAAGTGGGCGGAACGCGGCGCTGGCAGGGCGGATGCGAGGCCGCAGGGGTAGCAGCGCGGGGGGCAGGGCCCGGCCGGAGCCCGCTAGGTAAGGGGGCGCGGCCGAGGCTCCTCTGCGCGTCCTCCCGGCCCTCAGCCCGTCGCTCCGGGGCAGGGGGAGCAGCGGTGCCGGCCCCCGGGGGAGGTGGCGGGAGGACTCCTCGGGGATGCCAGGCGCCGGGCGTGAAATTGTTGGCCGGTTTGTAGCTCGAGCTAGGGCAGGGCTCCGCACTGCCATAACATCCCAGCCCTGGAGCAGCTCCCTGCCCTGCTGCGTGCCCTCCCAATATTGCTGGGGCTGGTCTCCATGGAAACCTTGACCTGTGCTGTCGTGGTGCTGCTGCTCCTGGGTCTCCATGGAAACCAGCTGCAGTGGTGTGAGTGAGAGCTGCTGGGAAATAAAGCCCACCATGGGCCTGATCCAGCTTGCAGGCCTCTAAGGTAACTTCATTCACCTTGTTCCATAGCAGTAACCACCTTTATTTCTGTTTTTGACTGGCTGCTGGTGTTTGTGGTAAGTGCCCGTGTTTGATTTGCAAAGTGACTGGTCTGTGGTGAGATTAATGTGCAGGACTTTTAACACATTAGGGGAAGTCATGGGCCAGGCCCACCACGGAAACTATAACCCCCCTTTGGTATTGAGGGGTCACTAGTGATCTGTTACAGATTTCTTTGGGCAGATATTAACGAAAACAGGGACAGGAGTGGAGGTCAGAGGTCTGTAACAAAAGTGCCATGTGGGAACACCAAGCAGAGCACACCAGACAGCGCCCACTGGCCCTCAAATGAATCCAAGGAGGCAGCAAAGACTATGTGCCACTCACGGGACTGGTGACACATGCACATCTCTTGCAGGGAGAAAAAATGCCCTTACAAATAAAAAGATGTCATGTAATTGGCCTTAAAGCCTCCTGCTTTCATAATTATAATACTTGTTTAACTCTCTTTTTTTGGATTGACTTCCCCTCCCCCCGTTCCCTCTGGCTTTTAGTACCTCAGTTGTGACCATTCAAATATGACTTTTTTGCAGACAGCCCCAAGTTTCCTGAATATTTAATCTACTACTTGGACATCTGGCCTCACTACAATGGTAAGAGACGGTTCAAGTCATGTATTGTTTTGCCTGTAGACTGTTTGATGTATGAGAGACAAAAACAAAAAAATTCTTTGTTTCTGACATCTTCAGAAGTTTGGCTTTTTTTAAACACTTGTTGTTGTTGTCTTTCATGGCGGGGGGGGGGTAGGAGGGAGGTGGCCAGATACTTTTGGAGTTTGTCCTAGAATTGATATTCACAAGTTAGTATGAACAGAACACAAGAAGAACACAAACTTGCTTGTATTCTGTCTTTGACAGTGGCAAGCAGAAAGTGACTCAGAGGAATGAGTAAATTCTACACATCCAATGGAGCCCTTACATGTCCGGAGGGTTCTTCTTGATGGGTGGCTGTGACTGCCCACTGCTGCCCCCTTTTCCAAGTAGGGTGCATGCAAATCATGTCTTCCCCTCTCTCCCAGTTTTCTTACATGACTTACCCACCATTCACATTAAATCACTGGGCAGGTTCCTGGGGTAGAGAGCCTTGTTTACCAGGACAGTGCACCTCTCACAACCAAAACTCTTTGGGGTGTCTTAGCCTGCAGTCCCCTACAGCTAGTTCTCCCCTTTTGCGGTGTCCTTTAAGGTTTGCTACACAGTGTCGCAAAACTCATTCCTAGCACTAGTCTCTCCTTTAATCCTTCAGATAAACTTGAACTAGTCCCAGCCTTTCTTCTGGCATGCTTGGGCCTAGTTCATGTATCTCTTCTTCCACCCTTTCCCCAAGCCTACTCACTGTGTCAGGTACTTCAGCCTGGTTTTCTGTTACAGGGCTACTATTCTCTACCACTGCAGCACTGTTTACACCGCTTTCCCTTTACAGCCTTTCATTTTTATCCTTTAAGGGAAAGGCCTCCCAGTCTGTTTTATCCCTCTAAAGAGACTTTCCATTTCTTCCTTAAAGTGAGGACTGAAGAGGGCCCTGTTGCAGTGGGCTACATCTAAAAGCACATGGGTTCATATTGCTTGTGTTCTTATCTCAAAAATATAAATTCTTATGATTAGTCATGCCGGCTCTGTTGAATTCTGTTAAAGTCTACCTTAGTTTTAAAAAATGTTTTTTTCATACCAATGGGTTCTGCAGGCTAATGGCACAGCATTGACTTGAAAGTCAGTTTCTTATCTAAAAGCTTTAACACTTATTATTGCACGTAATTACAAATGTTACTTTAGGTGAAAGATTAAGGACAGGAAGAAGTAACTTATCTCCTTCTGTGTATTGTATAACTCTCTTGCCATAATCAATTTCTCTTCCTGTACCCTGCCACAAGGTGTAGTTGGTCTCCAGGTAGTTGTGCAGTTAATCAGTTAATTGTGAATTACCTGTAACATGTAGAAGGAACCTAGTTGATAATGAGGAAACTGCAACTTTAGAGACGAGATTTATCAAGAGACAATAGGAGTCTACTTAGAACTTTTATGATTATTGACAGAGGAAGAAAGTCTTTTTCATTAATTTTAGTGGGAGTTACGGCCCTTGGTGTTTTGCTTCTGTGGAACCCCAATCCTTAGCAGCCTAAGACTTCATTCTTCGTTCTTGAGTCTCTTGTGTGGCAAAAAAATACTCTTCCTCTTATCAAACTTCCTATTTCCAAGAGGTTGATCACTCTTATAGTATGGCTGTTGAGCATCTTCTCTCGTTGTTCTGGAGTAGCATTGACAGAAGTCTCAGGTGCACTGAAGTGAAAATAGATCCTTTAAGGCAGGGCTTTCCAGCTGGCAGCCTGTGAGTGGTTACTTTCAGCCCACAGGGATTGTTGGCATGGCTGCCAAAGTTGTTGCAGTGGCATGGCTTTCAGAACCCAGAGAATGAATGCTGCTGCTACTTGGCCCCCTGTTGAATTTGAGGACTTCATTTACTGTTGACTAAAATAAGTGGCAGGGAAAATGGGGGGAAGAATGGCAGCAGCATTCACCCGCTGGATTCCAGCGGATGCCAGTACAGTGATTCTGGCAGCCACATCAACAAACTGAAAGGGATCTTGGAGTCATAGTTGACTCCAAGACGAACATGAGCCGACAGTTTAACAAAGCCATCAACAAAGCCAATCACACCTTATCATGCATTAACAGATCAAGGGAGGTGATGCTCCCCCTCTATGCAGCATTGGTCAGGCCATAGTTGGAGTACTGTGTCCAGTTTTGGGCGCCGCACTTCAAGAGGGATGCAGAGAATCTGGAGAGGGTTCAAAGGAGGGCCACTCATATGATTAGTGGCCTCCGTGCAAGACCCTAGGAGGGGAGGTTGAGGGATCTGGATCTCTTCAGCCTTCACAAGAGACATCTGAGGGGAGACCTTGTAGCCGCCTATAAGTTTACCAAGGGAGGACAACAGAAAATTGGAGATGTGCTATTTACCAGGGCACCCCGAGGAGTAACTGGCAGTAATGGGTACAAACTAGTGGAGAGTAGATTCAGGTTAGACATTAGGAAGAAATTTTTCACAGTAAGGGTGGACAGAATCTGGAACGGGCTGCTAAGAGAGGTGGTACTATCACCCAACTTGGAGGTCTTCAAGAGGAGGGTAGGTAGACACCTGGCTGGGGTCGTCTGGCCTCGGTCCTCTTTCCTGCCTGGGGCAGGGGGTCAGACGTGATGATCCTTCGTGGTCCCTTCTGACTCGACAATCTATGAATCTATGCTGCCTCACTGCCAGAGGTGGGTCATCTGGCTCACGAGTACCCCCCTGAACTTGAGGTTACTTTTTAAAAACTGAAAATAGGGGACTTCTTTAAATCAAGAGAAAACCAGGATCCCTGCTCATAAGTCATATGCCCCAGCCCCCTAACCATTGTCATTGCTCTCTGCTCTCAGTTTGTCCACATCCTTTCTGTAGTGAGAGGCCCAAAGTGGGACACAGTACTCCAGATGTGGCCGCACCAGTGGTGAATAAAGGGGAATAATCACTTCCCTTGACCTACTGGCAATACTCCTACCAATGCAGCCCAGTATGTCATTAACGTTCTTGGCAACAAGGGCACACTGTTGGCTCTTATTCAGCTTATTATCCACTGTAACCCCCGGGTCCTTTTCTTCAGGGCTGTTGCCTAGCCAGTCAGCCCCCAACCTGTACTGCTGCATTGGATTGTTGCATCCTAAGTGCAGGACTTTACAGTTGTCCTTATTGAACCTCATGAGATTTCTTTTGGTCCAATCCTCCAATTTGTTTAGGTCTCTCTGAATCCTAACCCTACTATTTCCCCCAGCTTGGTGTCATCTATGAATCTGCAGACTTGGTGAGGGTGCACTTTATGCTGTCTTCCAGGTCATTGATGAAGATATTGAACAAAACTGGCCCCAGAACTGACCCCTGGGGCACTCCGTTTGATACCAGCTGTTAACTGGACATCAAACCATTGACTACTACCCTCTGAACCAGCCAGTTTTCCATTCATCTTACAGTTCATTCATTCAACCCATACTTTCTTAGCTTGCCTGCAAGAACGTGGTGGAAGACTGTATCAAAAGCCGTGCCAAAGTCCAGGTATATCACATCTGCGGCTCTCCCGTCATCCATAGAGCCAGTATCTTATCATAGAAGTCAATCAGGGTGGTCTGGCCTGACTTACCCTTGGTGAATTTATGCTGACTGTTCCTAATCACCTTCTTCTCCTCCAAGTGCTTAGAAATTCATTCCTTGAGGACCTGCTCCATGACTTCTCCAGCAGCTTAGGTGAAGCTGACTGTTCTGTAATACCCTGGATCCTCCTTTTTCACGGTCTTAAACATGGGCACTATGTTTGCCCTTTTTCAATTGTCTGGGACCTCTCCTAATTGCCATGAGTTTTCAAAGATGATGGCCAGTGGCTCTGCAACCACATTGACCACTCTCTTAGCATTCTCAGGTTCATCTCGTCCAGCCCCATGGATTTCTATATGTCCAGCCTTTTTAAATAGCCCCTAGCCTGTTCTTTTTCCACTGTTGGCTGCTCACCTTCTCCCCAAACTTTGCTGCCAGGTGCAGTAGTCTGGGAACTGGCCTTGTCTCTGAAGACTGAGGTGAAAAAGGTGTTGAGCACTTCAGCCTTTTCTGCATCCTCTGTCACTAGATTGCCTCCCCCATTCAGTAAGGGATCCACACTGTCCCTGGTCCTCCTCTTGTTACCGACATACTTATAGAAACCCTTCTTGTTACCCTTCACATCCCTTGCTAACTGCAACTCCAATTGCACTTTGGCCTTCCTGACTTCATCCCTGCATGCCCAAGCAATACTTTTATACTCCTCTCTAGTTGTTTGTTCAAGTTTCCACTTCTTGTAAGCTTCCTTTTTGTGATTAAGCTCACTGAAGAGTTTCCTGCTAAGCCAAGATGGTCTTCTGTCATACTTGCCAGTCTTCTTGCGCATTGGGATGGTTTGTTCATATGCTCTCAGTAAGGCTTATTTAAAGTACAGCCAGCTCTCCTGGACAACTCTCCCCATCAGACTTGCTCAGGAGAGGATTGCCTGGGAAGCCAATCAAAGTCTGCTTTTCTGAAGTCCAGAGTCTTACTCTTCTGCTCTCCTTCCTTTCTTTCTTCAGGATGCTGAATTCAATCATCTCGTGGTCACTGCTGACCATATTGCCATCCATTACTATATTCCCCACCACTTCTTCCGTGTTTGCAAGCAGCAGGTCAAGAAGAGCACGGCCCCTAGTTGGCCACTCCATCACTTCCACCTTGAAGCTGTCCCCAACACTCTCCAGAAACTTCCTGGATTGCCTGTGCACTGCTGTATTGTCCTCCTAGCAGATGACAGGGTGATTGAAGTTCCCATTGAGAACCAGGACCTGTGAAACTTCCACCGGGTGTTTGAAGAAAGCCTCATCCACTTCCTCCTGATCTGATGGTCCATGGCAGACCCCCACCACAACATCACCTTTGTTGTGATCACCTCTGCTCTGACCCTAACCCAGAGACTTTCAACAGGCCTATCTCCAGTTTTATACTGGAGCTCTGAGCAATCATATGGCTTTTTTACATAAAGTGCAACTCCTCCTTTTCTCCCTTGCCTCTTCTTTCTGAACAGTTTATACCCATCCATGACAGTGCTCCAGTCATGCAAGTTATCCCACTAAGTCTCTGTTATTCCAATCATGTCATAGTTCTGTGACTGTGCAAGGACTTCCAATTCTTCCTCCTTGTTTCCCAGGCTGTGGGATATTGTAAACAAGTTTCAGGTTTTTGGAGTTCAGTATAGGGTCATGGATTTGACATATATCTCAGCCCAGTTTGGGAATCTTGAATGGTGGGCTGAATTTTGCCTGAGCTCAGTTCTTGGCCTCCACGCTGCTTTTATGTCTGAGAAAGGAGGAGTGATTTGAAGCTCCTAAGTGGCTCCATGTTGATCAGAGAAGAATAACATGTGGGGAAAGTTGAGGTTGTCATCATAGATTTCACAGACATTAGGGCTGGAAGGGACCTCGGAAGATCATCAAGTCTAGCCCCCTGCCCCAGGGGCAGAAAGTCAGCCGGGGTCATAGGATCCCAGCAAGATAAGCATCCGAATTTCTCTTGAAGACATTCAGTGTAGGTGCTTGAACCACCTCCGGTGGCAGGCTGTTCCAGAGCTGGGGGGCTTGGACAGTAAAGAAATTCTTCCTTATGTCCAGCCTGAAACAGTCTTGCAGTAGTTTATAACCGTTCGACCTCGTCATCCCTTAGGGCGCTCTGGTGAACAAACGTTCCCCCAGATACTGGTGGTCACCCCGATAAACTTATAGGTGGCCTTCAGATCACCCCTGAGCCTGCGCTTTTCCAGGCTAAAGAGCCCCATAGCTCTCAGCCTGTCATCGTACGGTCTGTTTTCCTGACCTCTGATCATGCGCGTGGCTCTTCTCTGGACTCTCTCAAGCTTCTCCACATCCTTTTTGAATTGTGGAGCCCAAAACTGGATGCAGTACTCCAGCTGCGGCCTCACCAAGGCCAAGTACAATGGGAGAATGACGTCCTGGGATTTGCTTGAGAAGCATCTATGGATGCAAGCCAGCGTTTTGCTCGCTTTACTAGCCGCAGCATCACATTGAAGGCTCATGTTCATCTTGTGGTCTTCATATCTTGGCATGATAATCTATTTAATAGCTTCTCTTCAATAGCAGTGGCTTTTGTTTTGATTGCTTTCTTCTTTACAGGGCATTCTGCTTTAACCCCTGGTTGCAATCAGACAGCCCCACTTTCTCCTTGTTACTGCTCATCTGTGATACAGCAGATAGAAACGTGCAGTGATGTAGGAGATGTTCTAAGTATCATCAGCCAGCGTGAAAGCAGAGAATATTCTTTTCTACTTGGTACATTCAGTTGGTTTGAGTTAAAGCTTCTGCATACTCTATTTACCAATGGACTGCATAAATCAGTTAAATCTAAACTACTGTAGAAACATTCTGTCGTGGAATTGATTATTGTTAATGAAGTCAAATGAGGTTCTGAATCTGTGTGAAAGTTCTGAATGGTAACTTTGTCATTTAACATGCTTTAAGGAAGTTATTTTAATTCTTACAGCAACAAGCTTTAGAACTGGCATTGGACCGTGCAGAGGTAAGGAGCAGCTAAGTTGTCTGTTACCATGAAAACAATGTTATCCTTTAAGAAATGGCTGTTTGCAGCATTTTGTGCATTTATTTGTATAAAAGTACATTTTTATAAATAAAACCTATGACATTAGAGTTGCAAAATTGCCACTACAGTTTTGAAATCAGGCACAAAACCAACTTTTCCGTTGTTCCCCATGATGAAAACAGGTCAGGCTTTAGTTCCTCTTTTCTGAAAACAAAATTATATGCCTTGAACTAACAGACCTTTATGGGCTGCAAATCTTAAGAGTCTACAGGAATGTGTAACAAAACCTTGAGTAGCTATTGAGATCATACCAAATGAAAACCAACAAAGCAAGCAGTTCATATTTTCACATCTGCACTAACATAACATGCAATGTTGAGCTTGACTATACCAGGAAATAGGGTGTGGGAGTGGAAGGGATCTTGTCTCCACTAAAATTACATGTTGTTTAATAATTTAGTTTCCAGGGCACTAGATGTCGGATTTTATTGTTTACCTAAAGAAACTCCTACAAAACAAGGGCAGTATTTAATCAGTCACTTCTATTAATTAAAGCTGCTGTATGTTTGCAGTTATTTTTTGCTTTATTAGCTTCACATGGGTGAAGCAAAAACAGAAGAAGTCCTCCCCCCACCTTTTTTAAAAGTAAATAAAGATGGTTGTACTCATAGGGACTAAGTTGTAAAAGTTGCAAGTTGTTGCACTTGCAATTGGTTATGAAGGAAAGAATGGTTAAAAGAAAGTTTTAAAATTTCACTTGAAGTCATAGTACCATAGATATATGTTGTTGGACATGATTTCTGAATTTTTGAACCAAGTCATGAAAGTTATTATGAACTGTAGCACTTCATTTTAGTTGGAATGAAAGCTACTGCTTAACTTGTAGCTAATAGAGGGAGTAATGTATCTAAGTAAATACCTCCCACATAGACTGTTTTGTAACAAGAAAAATTTGTCCATTTGAAAAACTATATTTTGAGTCTCTTGTTAGGTGTGCAGTATAAAACAACTCCTGTAATATTCTAAGTTCGTTTTAGTGATAGAAAGGCCCTTCAGTGTACAAGTCACTGTACAAAAAAAAAAACCTCTTGTTTTTTCTCATATAGTATATCATTGAAAGTGCCCGTCAGAGACCTCCCAAACGAAAATATTTATCCAGTGGAAGGTAGTAATTTTTCAATATATATCTTTTTTTCTTTCTTTCTTTATTTAACATAAATCTATTTAACATTTATTTAACCTGCTTTTTATGTTAATATCTTTCTTAATTTCAGAAAATCTGTGTTTCAAAAGCTGTATGATTTGTATATAGAAGAATGTGAAAAAGAGCCTGAGATAAAGGTAAGTGGAATTTACTTGTTAAGCCGCCATTCAGAGCTTTACAAATGGGTAGGCTTAGCAAATTGTTTTGAAGCAAGGGGCAGGCAGCAAAACATAGAAAATTAGGGTTGGAAGGGACCTCAGGAGGTCATCTAGTCCAACCCCCTACTCAGAGCAGGACCATCTCCACCTATATCATTCCAGCCAAAGCTTTGTCTAGCTGGGTCTTGAAAACCTCTCATGATGGAGATTGCACCACATCTCTGGGTAACCTATTCCAACATTTTACTACCCTCCAAGTGAGAAAATTCTTTTGACTATCATATCTAAACTTCCCTTGCTGCAACTTGAGACAGTTGCTCCTTGTTCTGTCATCTGCCACCACTGAGAACAGTAGTTAAATCTAGAGGTGCACCGACAGATTTTTTTGGGCCGATACCAATGGCTAATTTTTTAAGGTGCCATATTGGCCAATACCAGTCCGATTCCGATATGCAGCCAGGCAGCTTAGAGACCAGCGTCAGGCTGGTAAGTCTGGTGTGGGAAAAGGGGGGAAGGGGTGTTTGGGTGGCAGATCAAGGCCCTGTGATGAGGAAGGGAGTGGGGCTGGGGCAGGTGGTGCACAGTCAGGGCGGGGCAGGACACGGGACAGAGCCGTGAGTAGCTCGTCTGGGTCGTGTGGCAGGGGGGAGGTGGAGGGGGTCTTCTACCCTGCATGCACCCTGGGAGGGCATGGGGAGGGGCATGTGCCCCCAGATCTGAACGTGGGGTGAGGGCAGGCTGCCGCTGCAGGCTGGAGCCGAGAGCGCCAGGCTGTTCCTGGTGGGGGGACTGGGCCTGGCTGAGCTCAGGGCGGGTGGTGGTGCTAGGAGAGGGCTGCAGGGGGGTGTGGGGTGGGGCTGCAGCCACACCAAAATTTGCTGTAGTGTGGCCCACCTGTGCACAGATCCAGGGACCCCCTCCCCTGCCCCATGCCCTCCTGGGGTGCGCAAAGCAGCGAGAGCCACCCCCTGCATCCCTCAGACAAGCTGGTTACGGCTCCTTCATGCACCCTGCCCCAGCCGTGCAGCACCTGTCCCTGCCCCACTCTCTCCCTCACCGCAGGGGCCTCAATCTGCCACCCCTCCCCACCCCCCACCAGACTTACCAGCCAGATGCTGCTCTCCAAACTGCCAGGCTGCGTTCCTCGGCACGTACATACTGCGGCTGTGCACGTGCACGGGGCATTTATCAGCCATATTATCGGCCATATCAGGCAAAAAAAAGGCGATGTCCAGTGCTGTCAATTTTCCCTATATTGGTGCCAATCTGATATGGGACTGATATATTGGTGCACCTCCTAGTTAAGATTCTGTTACTTCTGAGGGAGTGAATAGCACTGAAAAAAAGACTTACAAAGGGTAAGTTTGTAACCCACAATCATAGTGCAGTTCAACATGAAATAGAAATTAATGAGACTAGGCTAGGAACTAATTAGTTACCTTAGTTTATTTTTTAAGAAGACAGAGTAGAATTTCAACAAGAAAACAGTTGTGCTGTTGTGCACCTATTTTTAATAGCAAATGAACCACTCTGCTGTGCAGTAAAGTACATCATACTCTGTTTAATGGTGTAAGCTTAGGGCTTTAAAAGGTTATGCAGTTGCTTGAATTTAATATAAACAGTTGGTGCTTAGCAGGTTCACAGCATTGTCAGTGCTGAGATACTGGCAGCCCTGAAACTGACTAGCTTTGCTCTGCTGTCAGTAAAGAAATAGACTTATCCATCTTTGACCCTGTTCTGTATTAAATTATCATTTTTGTTCCTGAAATAATTAGCGCATTGCATTGTTGTTAGATGGTGCTATGTGCAGGGTTTGAAATACAGGGATGAGAGTCCCCGGCCTGCCCCGTTCCGCTCCTTTCTAAGCAGCTCAGGTGGCAGCGGCGATGGCTTCTTCTGGCTTCCAGTTGCTACCACCGCAGACACCTTCCCCCAGCTCCCCAAAAGAGTCTGAGTGTAATTTGAACCCCGGCTATGTGAAGCACTTTTCTAAACCAAGCAAAGATTCTCATTCCGGCCTTTTTATTTTAATATAGTGTATATACGATAAAAATCAATTTATAACCAGTGAGTTTAACTGTCAGTCCACTAAATCAGAAGCCTTGTAGTTTTGTAGGAAAATGCGGAGGGAACTGCATTACTGCACCCATGGGGTGGGCAGAATGCGGTGAAGGAAGAACTACAGGACTGGGATTTTGTGATCACAGAGTACCCGTTTTGTGTTTTTTAGTGGTAGTTGTTCTGCTTTGTGCTGTTTTTCAAGTACTTTGTTGTAGCTGATACTGTCTTTCCATCACAAATGTGTGTGTGAAGGTTTCAGTCATAGTTCTTAATTGTGTTACCTCAGCCGCTCACCATCAAAAAGTGGAAATTTAGCCATATTACTAGGGAAGAGTACAAGACTATCACACAGGCACACAGGAAGAAAATCAGGATGGTTTGCAATGTAACTAGCAAGGATTCTATAAATCAGTCAGAAGTAAAAGGAAGACTAAGGAATGTGCAGGTCCCTTACTGAATGCAGAAGACAATCTAGTAATGGAGAAGGCTAAAGTAATTTATGCATATTTTACTTTAGTCTTCATTGATAACATTGGCTACCGGAAAATGAGTGTAGTAGACAGCCAGGATGGGGGAAGAGATAAATAGCTTTGAGTAGTGAAAGAACAGGTTAGGGATTGGAGAGGTTGGAGGTTTTCAAGTTGACAGAGCCAGACAGGATGCCTTCTTAGCGTAATGGATAATTTGGCTGAAGCAGTTTTAAATCCATTGACCGTCATGTTTGAGAACTCGTGGAGTTTAGGTGAGGTCCCAGATGACTGGAGAACAGGCGAATATAATGCTCATCTTTAAGACATGGAAAAAGGAGGAACTATGAATTATAGACTAGTTAGTCTGACAGTACTAAGAAAGATTATGGAGCTGGTCATCTTTCTAAATATGCCGAGGAGCACAAAGTGATCAGGAACTGTTAGCTTCAGTTTATCAAAAACATGCAATTGGAGTTGCAGCTAGTAAGGGACGTGAAGGGTAACAAGAAAGGTTTCTACAAGTATGTTGGTAGCAAGAGGAGGATCAGGGAAAGTGTGGGTCCCTTGCTGAATGTGGGAGGCAACCTTGTGACAGAGGATGCGGAAAAGGCTAAAATGCTCAATGCCTTTTTTGCCTCAGTCTTCACAGGCAAGGTCAGCTCCCAGGAAGCACAGTTTGGGGAGATGGTGAGCAGACGTCAGTGGTAAAAGAACAGGTTAGGAACTACTTAGAAAAGCTGGACATGTGTAAGTCCATGGAGCAGATGAAATGCACCCAAGGGTGCTGGGTGCTGTGATTGCAGAGCCATTGCCCATCATCTTTGGAAATTCATGGCAATCAGGAGAGGTCCCAGATGATTGGAAAAAGGCAAACATAGTGCTGAAATTTAAGAAAGGGAAAAAGGAGAATAACAGAGGCTGACAGACCAGTCAGCCTCACCTCAGTCCCTGGAAAAATCATGGAGCAGATCCTGAAGGAATCTATTTCTAAACACTTGGAGGAGGAAAACATGATCAGGAATAGTCAGCATGTATTCACCAGGGGCAAGTCATGCCTAACCAACCTGTTTGCCTTCTATGATGAGATGACTGGCTCTGTGGATGTGGGGAGACTGGTGGATGTGATGTTCCTTGATTTCAGCAAGGTTTTTGGTATGGTCTCCTAGAACATTCTTGCAGGGAAGCTGAGGAAGTATGGGCTGGATGAATGGACTGTCAGGTGAATAGAAAACTGGCTGGAGCATCAGGCTCAGAGAGTAGTAATCAATGGCTTGGTGTGTCTGGTTGGCAGCTTGTATCAAATGGAGTGCCCCAGGGGTTGGTCCTGGGGCTGGTTTTGTTCAGTGTCTTCATCAAGAACCTGGAAGATGGCATAGAATGTACCCTCAGCAAATTTGCAAATGACACCAAGCTGGGGGGAGTAGTAGATACACTGGAGGGTAGTGCTAGGATCCAGAGTGACCTAGACAAATTAGAAGATTGTGCCAAAAGGGGTCTCTTGAGGTTCAACAAGGACAAGAGCAAAGTCCTGAGGACAGAACAATCCCTTGCCTTGGTACAGACTGGGGGCTCACTGGCTGGGCAGCTGGTCTGCAGAAAAGGACCTGGCAGTTATAGTGAACAATAAGCTGAATAAGAGCCAACAGTGTGCCCTTATTGCAAAGAAGGCTAATGGCATACTGGGCTGCCTTGGTAGGTATGTTGCCAGTAGGTCACAGGAAGTGATTCTACCCCTCTATTCAGCACTGGTGAGGCTACATTTGGAGTACTGGGTTCAGTTTTGGGATCCTCACTACAGAAGGGATGTGGACAAATTGGAGAGAGTCTGGCAGAGGGTGACAAAATGGTAAAGGGACTGGGGGACATGACTTGTGAGGAAAGACTAAGGGAACTGGGTGTATTTAGTCTAAAGAGAAGCCTGAGAGGGGACTTAGTAGCAGCCTTCAACTATCTGAAGTGGGGTTTAAAAGAGGATGGAGCTAGACTTTGCAGTGGTGGCAGATGAAAGAACAAGGAACAACGGTCTCAAATTGCAGCAAGGGAAGTTTAGGTTAGATATTAGGAAGAATTTTTTCACTAGGAGGGTAGTAAAACACTGGAACAGATTACCCGTCCTTGGAGGTTTTCAGATCCCAGCTAGGCAGAGTTTTGGCTGGCATGATCTAGTTGCGGATGGTCCTGCTTTGAGCAGGGGGTTGGACTAGATAACCTCCTGAGGTCTTTTCCAACCCTAACTTTCTATGATTCTATGCCTGACCAGCTTGATTTCCTTCTATGACAAGGTGGTAGGCTCAGTAGATAGTGAAAGAGCAGTATAGATGTGACTTACCTTAACTTGAGTAAATTGTTTTACATTGTTTCCCATGACACTCTATTTCACAAGCTAAGGAAATAAGGACTAGGTCAAAGTACTCTAAGATGGATACACAAGTGGTTGGATCACAGAGC